TACTATCGCAGGAAATTGTGTCTATTTTTCCCAACCATTAGTCACATATTAAACAGTTATTTCCAGGAAATTTCCTTGCAAAATTTTGAGAAATTACATTATATTAAAACGTGCCCTTTCACATTTTTAATTTTTGTTTTCAAAGTCTTTAAGCCCCTTTTTGGATGGAGTAGATCCTTAGCTCTAAGAAAAAATGTGCCATGCCATCTCAGGCTATCTTATTTTTTTTATTTTTTTCACATAATCAACTTGCATATAAGTGTGTTTCGTTAACCCTGTTACCGACATATAAGTTTCTGTTTGAAAAGGTTTTACATCCATATCTAGAACAAATATGACATGCTATGAAAGATGAGACACCATTTGGTACAATAAGAGTGATTGTGAAGTGGGAATATTAACTAGTTTACTTATATCCATAGATGAATACATTCATTTACAATTAATACTGTCACAACATATTCTGTTTTAAGAAAAAGTTATGAAAACTACATAATAATTTCCCAATTTCTTTGAGTGTATTACTGGTCTCTTCTACTTAACTTATACCATGTGTTGAATTCACAATTTTATTTTCATTTTTTAAAATTATATTAGAATATTATACAAGTAACAGGGTTGACAACAGTTACCATATTGGTTATACTGCTTGTTTAAGTTACAGTCATGGGTGTAATGGAGTATTAATGGGATAGTCATAAACTTTTAATTCAACATAACTAATTAGAGTATTTCGGAGACAGATTTGTTGAGAGGTTTTAGCCTTTACTGATGTAACTGTGAATCAATTGTTTAATTAAGTACTTTGCAAATAAATGTGAAAAATGAAATTGTTTGGCCTGTGGGTACATCAAAATATACTTTTCTTAGCCAAGAAGGGTTGAATCGAGGGCAACTAGACTTGGTTGAAGAAGCTTGAAGATTTTTCACCTCTCATCCAAGGGGCATCTTCAGTTCTAAATGACTGGTGGGGAGTTCCAGGCATTTTACCTCTAAGGGGTCGTAATCAAAATCATTGATACTAATTAGTGGTTGGTGATCCTGGCTATTATAACAATGGTCGTTGGGGTCCATGGTGTCAACTGAGGCGTGTAAACAATAGTCTTTCGAATTGTCACAAAGCCAAATATGACCGGTTGTTCAATCTTCTAGGAACATATGAAAAGACAGCATTATATATGGGGGATAAGTGGTGTCATATATCCTCCTCTGTTGAGAGATGGTTTATCTATTCTGGTGTAAATATCCTCCTTTACTCCTCTTTCAAACCATTTGTCTTAAGAACAACAACATACGAGTATACAGGACACCCACACACACAGACCAGTACTTAATACTACCACTAACCACTGGAGCATAAGCAAGGAGTTGTCAAAGCTCTGCACCACCGAGATGATAATGTACCAACAAGTGCCCAGGCCCCAGAGAAGGAGCACAGAAAACCTGAAGGATGCGCTTAATTGTGGATACTCTAACTGGACCCTTGTGAAAACAGCTACAAAATCCAGGAAGAACTCTAAAACTGTGGTTGGTGAAGAAAAGAAGGAAAAATGCAACATTGTCATTCCATACATGTCAGGAGTATCAGAGAAATCCACATCCCTGTGTTTTTCAAACCAAGCAACACACTAAGATAGAAACTGGTCCACATGAAAGACCCCACCCCCAAACACAAGAAAAGCAACATAGCGTATGCTGTCCAATGCAGTTTGGAATGCACAGATTTGTATATTGGGAAAACCAAACAAGTTTTATTCAAACACATGACTCAACACAGGAAGGGTAACTCCTCAGTTTAAGACTCAGCAGTTTACCCAAACCTGGAGAATAAGGAACACTCTTTTGAAGACAAAAGATAGAGAGGACAGATAGTTTGAAAGAGTTTGATAGAGTAGTGAAGGAGGCTTTCTACTTCAAAGTAGAGAAACCATCTCTCAAGAAAGGAGGATGTCTACCAAACTTATCCCCTACATATGATGTTGTCCTTCATCTCTTTGCCAGGAGATTGTTTGAGTGAAAGTTGTTTACATTTGGCCTCAACTGACAGACTGACTTCTTCAACCAAGTCCAGTTGCCCTCGATTAATGCATCTTGGGTAAGAAAAGTATATTTTCAAGTACAGTGTGATGAAAATTTCATGTTAGACTCACTGATATGATAAATTCCAGGACAAAACACAAAAGCATATACCTTTGTCAACCCTGTTACCCTGAAATAGTAACATGTACATGTATATTTAAAATTTCCAACAAATTACTTTTTAACATATGTTTTTGTGGTAACAGGGTTGACACAAAGAGACATTATTTAACTCAAAAAAGATCCATTAAAGGAGTTGAAAATTACTTGTCTTTTATCATAAACTTCATAAAATGGCAGATGATGTCACTTCCTCGAAATTATGCAGCTTTTGGAACAGTCCATTAGCTTTGAAGGGGTGTTTTCATTAAAAGTAACAGGGTTGACAACAACATGGGGACCTGACTAAATTGTTGTTTTTTGCAATATTTCACACATATTAAGAATAAAACCCATTCATGAGTAATGAAACAACATTTGAGGCTTTATACAGGTTAAAGTTTTTGTATGATAGTTTGACTTTTTTGGTCTCAATAGCTAGAAGTAGTAGAAAAATAATTTTGAGGGACAGGCCATTTTCAAAATTTCTGCAAGATGCTTTGCACAGAAATGTGATTAAAATCTTTTAAAAACAAAAGAAACAGAAATTAATTTCCTCTTATAATATGAGACATATTATGGAAACTAAATTATAAAATATTTTATTTGTTTTATGGTTTATTAAGATTTACAGAGCTTTTTTTCAGAGGGACACAAAATGGCACATTTTATAATGTATAATGACCCACCTATAAAAATGAGGTTGTTTTTCATCTCAGAATGTCAGTCAGGTTACAGGGACTGGAATCAACATTATTGTGTCAAAACAACATTAAGTTGTCAAAACACAGGCCAGTAAACAAGAAGCTTGATTTGCTAAGAACTGGGCACTGTGCCATAAATAAACCAAATGAAAGAGTAATGCAACAGAGTAAGCTGTCAATACCGTGTTTGGAGCAAAGAAAGCTAACTCTAGGAGTGATGTTACTTGAATCTCCCCTTGAAAAAGAAAGCTTCTTTTCAAGTGTTGTCGCCTCCATGACTTTGCAGTTTTTGAGAGGCTCAGAGACACTCCATGTGAAGTTGTCAGTCAGCCAGGTGTGTACTCAGGGACACAGGTAGAGCACAGGGAGCCCCTTAAGTGTCTCATTCAAGGTGGAGGGAGAAAGGAAGCTAGGGTGGAGGTGGGGGGCAGAGAAAGATGTTATCACTTCCATCTCCTCCTCCGTGTTGGTGTGAAGGGAGTCGCTGAAAACAGATGACCTACATTTTCTGTGAGGCAGACTCCAACAGCGAGGCCTCCCCGGATTCAGAAAAGACAGAGTGAAGTATGGAAAGGCACAGAAAGAAAGAAAAAAAGAGAGTCTGAGGAAGAGGTATAGAAAGATAGAAACAGGCAGACTTCCAGTTTGACAAGGCAGACATGAAAAGGTAGAGATGCAGGCAGACAAAAGGAAACGGGGAAAGTTTTGACGGTAATCCTCTTCGACTCTTCCTTCCTTCCCTCTCGAGTGGTTATATAAAACACATCTAAAATTCTGTTCCATGCACATCAAAGAGCCTGCACCGCTTTGCAATCTGCATATATGATGCGTCCAGGGAACAGCAGGAGCGGTGTGTGTATGTGTGTTTCTGGGAGGAATGTTTGAGTCAAAAATAAGCTTCTTTGTAGAATGTTTAGATTACTTTGTGGTTAGATGAGCCACTTGGATCTGTGACTGCAGTCTTCAAACCACATTTTCTTCATTTGAGCGTGCTCTCACAGCAAACACAGCAATGATCATTAGAAACAAATAACTAGTTAATTCAATTGACATGGAGTTATAAGCTATTTCAAGGTGGAATTGCTGAGTGAGACATTGTAATGTTTCAGTCTGAACTGAGGTAATGTACATGAATTAACATAGGAAAAAAATAATCCGACCCTGACTTGGAAGTGTGGATGTTGTCACTGAAGTAATTTGGCAGCAAATTAAGTCATCTAAGTGAAGAGGAGAGCTTAAACAGTCATGGTTTTCTGTTCCATTGCTGCCACCTAGTGTTGACAAAATGCACGTACAACAAGGAGGCTTCTAGTATCAAATGCATTAACTAAAGTAACAATAAGCGTAAACTTATTTTTGAGATGAAGAGAACTTTAATATTTATGTTCAGAAGGTGAAGAGGCAGCTTTGATTAGAATCCCTCACGCAACCCGAGTACTTTACGACACAATTTAGAGCAGAGTGGCACCACAGTGTAATCCCTGCAGAGACACTTGATGATGAACGAATACCAACAATAGCATGTTCAACATCTGTTGATGTTTACAGTAGCCATTGCATAACACCAGAGGTGGGGAGAGTAGCCAAAAATGGTATTCAATTAAAAGTACTGTTATTTTGCAAAAACAAGTACTCAAGTTGAAGTAAAAAAGTAAAAAAAACTTAAATATACAATCATATCTAATATTTATAATAATAAACAACAACACTGGACCTTGTGAAGCAGCAGAAGGAAACAAAAGTTTAAAAAAAAGTAAGTACAAAAGTATCTATATCCATATATAAAGGTCACTCAGCAAGGAAGAAACCACTGCTCCAAAACTGCAATAAAAAAAGCCAGGCTGCAGTTTGCACATGGGAACAACCTTGCTTTTTCTAGAATTGTCCTCTGATCTGATGAAACAAAAATCTAGCTGTTTGGCCATAATGACCATCGTTATGTTTGGAGGAAAAAGGTTGAAGCTTGCAAGACAAAGGACCCCATCCTAACAGTGAAGCAAGGGGCTGGAAGCATAATGTTGTGGGTGTGCTTTGCTGCAAGAGGGATTGGTACGCTTTACAAAATAGATTGCATCATGAGGAAGGACCTCAACCAAGAAGTTAAAGCTTCGGTGCAAATCAGAATCAGAAATACTTTATTGATCCCCGAGGGGAAATTCTTTGTTACAAATTGCTCACTTGCATGCCAAGGTATAAGGAATACAAATAATAATAAAAAGTAGGTAAGTAGAAAATATAACAAAATATAAAAATCTAAATGTAAAGGAGTGTGCATATGTACAGTATTTTACAGTATGATAAATTGTAGTATTGATATAAATACTGAGTACTGGTAGGGTTGATGTGGAATAGATATAATCCTTGAAAACTACGGTATTGAAATTGGTCTTTCAAATAGACAGTGACCCCACGGATACTTCCAAAGTTTTGTCCAAATCAGAAAATCATCAAAAACAAAACAAAAGCAGGTTTTGGAGTGGCCATCACAAAGCCCTGAACTCAATCCATCTGAAAATTTGTGGGCAGAACTGAAAAAGCGTGTGAGCAAGTAAGGCCCACAAAGTTGACTGAGCTACACCAGTTCTGTCAGGAAGAGTGAGGAAAAGTCCATCAACTTATTGTGAGAAGCTGGTAGAAGGCTGCCACATACACAAAAGCTGAAATAAATAATTCTCTCTACTGTTTTTCTGACATTTCACATTCTTAAAATAAAGTAGTGATCCTCACTGACTTGAGAAAGGGAATGCTTATTGGAAATAAATGTTAAGAAATGTGAAAAACTGATTTTAAATGTATTTGGCTAAGGTGTGTGTAAACATCTGACTTCAAGAGTCAAGCTCAGCAGCTTGCACAAGAAGGAATTTGAAAAATGCCACGTAGCTCGTTTCATTAGAAACATACTGTATGACCGGCAGGCCTATTTACAATGTGCACTTTAAAAAATAAGCATGACAAGCAGAACAATCTTTTACTGAAATGCCAACAAGAAAAGCCTAGCTTAGTAAAAAGTAAAAAATCAAGATGAAACATCATTGATCTCACAAAAGGTTCAGAAATAAGCTCAGCTTTTCATCCATTCATTCATGGTCATGTGACAGTGGAAGAAAAACCCCAGCAACCAGTCCTGCTTCCAGCTGCTCTTAGTGTACACCTTTTAATTATAGTCCCTTTAATAAAGCATCCTTTCTAATGGGTTTGTAAATTATAACTTTTAATGACATTATTAATGGTATAGAATTAATTTACTTATGCTTTATAGATCGGTTATGAGCCATTGACAGGAACAACTTTTGGTTTGCAAAATTATGAAAACCCCCTTTCGCCAGTGTCTATCACTTCTTTTGGGTAAAAATGCAATTATAAATACAATAAATTAATGATTAATTAAGTTTTTAGTAAATGGAGGTTTGGTTTGGCCCATATTCTCTGCAGCCCTTTACCAGAAGGTTAATAATGTGGTATTGGGTGCTGGTAAGCAGATTCCTTCAGCTTCGGACACGGTCAGGCCAGCTGTTTCCACCTGTTTCAAGTCTTTGTGCTAAGCTAAGTGATAGCTGGTAATAGCATTCTAGAGACATGATATGAGAGTAATCTTGAGCTTTCAGGAAGAAAGCAAATCTGGAACTGGAACAACACAGAGTGCACTAAATGTTGTTTTAAGGTGTTTTTTTCCATGATGGAGGGTGTGGCACACAGGGGTGTACAATCAGTTCTCTTTGAAACAAAGATGCAATCAGTGTATCAAGTCTGCTCCAAAAGCCCCCTCCCCAAACTGTTTGTACTGTAATGATTCATCAGACCAAACAAGTCAACAGTGCATCCGCCCCATCAAAGCCATCAGCCTTGTCTTGTCTTTACTCATTTCCTGATCTTCTGATTGTCTCCCAAGCATTTCCTTAAGACTATCCCTTCATTAAAACTCCTTCACTCATTAATATGTCACGACATGAGTAATTTCCTTAAAACCATGACACAGCATACAGGAATTACTAAGATTGTTATAACATTTAGATGAAAATGAGTGATTACAGCATGTTTGAATCAAGGTGCTCTCACACCACGTGTGTCCTGCTGCCCAAAGACCTGCCGCCCTTGTGCTTGTGGCCGACGCTGGAGACCTTCCTGTTTGCGCTGCTCCTCAGCGATCCTCCCTTCAGCCTCACACTGCTGGATGTGTTCTCTGACACCGTCCTTCCTCTGGGTTTCTCCTCTGCCACAACTCTCTCATGCTTGAAGTTGTGGAGGTTCTCGCAGACGCAGGAGTGTTCTGGTGTGAAGGGTTTCCTTGAACAAAACCACTTAAAGGAGCTGTAGAGAAGCTCCGCACAGCTGGAAATCGCTGCTATCACCCCTACAATGAAGTAGAAGCAGAGGAAGACTGTTTTCTCTGCAGGGCGGGAGGTGAAGCAGTCCACTGTGTAGGGGCAAGGAAAGCGGCTGCAGGGGAACTGGGCCTCCACCTTGAAGCCGTAGAGCAGCCACTGGCCCACTAGAAAGCCAACTTCTGCCGCTAGGCGAAAAGCCACATTTATAAGGTAAAGCCTTCTGAAACGTATGTCTTCTCTGTAGTCCTGGCTGCATATCTGGCTGAATTTGGAGCCGCTGTTGCTCTTGTTATGGTGATGCATTGCATACATGAGAAAAAGCAGTGAAGGTGTGGCGATGAGGACAATGTGAAAAACCCAGAATCTGTACTGGGAGATAGGGAAGGCCTGGTCGTAGCAGACCTGTTTGCAGCCCGGCTGGAGGGTGTTGCAGGCAAACTCCTCTTGCTCATCCTCAAACAGGTCACTGGCTACAGTTCCCAGGATCAGTATCCTGAAGACAAGCATGAGTAAGAGCCAGAAACGACCAAGCATTGGCGAGTGGGCTTGGAGGTTATCAAAGAGTCCCCCGAGAAAGCTCCATTCACCCATGATTGCAGCAGCGACTTGGTTATGGCTCCTTGAAAGTGTGGAGAGTTATCCTCCTGTCTGTCTCAGAGCAAATGCCCTCTCTGGTTAAGAAAAGAAACTAAAACGTATCTCCAACTCATGACTCATTGTGACATGCCTAAAGTGGTGATAGGGTTCATGTTCAAGTGACCTGAAACAACAAGTAAAACATGATTGTACAATCTGCTATAACAGCAATTCCAGGAACACTGGCCTATATTAAACCCCAACGTATTTCTCTTTCTGTTTTACTTAACAATTGATCTTAAAGAGATCGTAAGAAATTTTCCATACAATTGAACTTCATTTTAAAAAGGCACAACAGTTATGAATACAGCCCCGACCAGCTGCAAGCTGCTACTGGTGAAAGTACACTGGCTGGTTGAGCAGCTTGCCGGTATGAAACTGTACTGTGACAGCATTTCAGACAAGCTAGTGACAAGATGCCAAGAGATTCAGCCTAAAGTATTTACCTAGTACTGCTTTCTTCTTTGTCTTCGCCCACACACATATGTCCTGAGATAAACCAAAGGAAGGTTTAAACAGATAAAAAAAAAAAAAAACTGGGTCCAATCAAAATGTCGTGCTCATGTCCATACAGACTTCTATTCTTCTCACTCTCTCTGCAAATGGCTCATGCCCTAGGTTTGCCGGTGCTTATAATTGAGAGGGCGGCAACAGTTTAGGAAATTCCTGCCCAGACAGAAGCACTGTTTACCCAAGAAAGGCAAAGTCTTGATGAGCGTTTCAAAGAACTTCCTAAATGGCAGGAAGGATCCATTTTAAGCTGTACAACTAGTTTTCCTGATTACATGGACAACATGATAACAACTTGCATAAAGCACCCTGATTAATTGTACATGCAATGTACAAAGCTAATCTGTCTAAACCCTCTAGATGTAGTATCACGAAGTAACTTACCCATCCAAGTTTTCCCAGTGACCTATTCCCCATTTCACCACAGTATATCTAGCACCTGTGTGGCTGATGCTCCTCTGTCCTTTAACAGGTCATGTGAATAGTCCTACTGAGAAGCTGACTTTTACGACGAAAAGACCACAGATTTCACAGGAAGTAAGCACAAAAGCAATGCTATGATGCAACTCACAATTCCAAACACACTGCACAATCACTACAATCAAGTTAACTTTATTTTTCAAAATATAAAATGAACAGCCATTGAAATATTTACAAGACAAGACAAAACATACAAGTGGACAGGTATAATCAAGATCCAGGCAATGATGCATCTAAAAGATTTTTTTTCCTCCAACAGGGTGAGAATTTTTTTTTTTTTTTTTTAACAATGAATACAATTTCTTTTTAAATTTATTTTAGGACTAGTTTTAAGGTCCATCTAAACCACAAGTGTAAATGTAACCTTGCTTCAAGTGATAAAAGTGAAGCCAGATTAATCACAAGGCACAAACTTTTTCTATAACTTACTAAAAAAACCTGCCTTTAAAATCTAAGAAAAATTACCACGGAGACTTTGAGACAATGATTTAAAAGTCTTCATCTGACTCGGAGTCCAGGTTGTAGGTTACAGGTTTCCGGGCACGTGAGGGTTTGTCCCGCGGGGCCACTGCTACAGGAGCTGCTGCTTCTTCTTGGTCTGAAACCTGGAAGCTGTCATCATCATCGAGCCACTTCTTGGTTTTCTACAATAAATATTCAGATATTTAAAACAAAGGTAATAGTGACTTACAAAAAAATTACGCATCATGCTCCATTAACCCCTAAAATATTTCTGAAATGAGAGTTCAGTGTAAAAACTGACCTTGCTACCGGCAGTTGTTTTGGCCTTGAGGCGTGACATGAGGTCATCTGAGCCGCTGTCTGATTCGTCGCTGACAGCCTGTTTCCTCTTGAGAATGGGCTTCGACTTTGCAACTGGAGCTTTAGCTTCACTTTCAGAGTCACTAGAATCAAATGAAGGCACCTTCTTGGCAGCCTTGTTGGAGGAAGGTTTGGGTTTAGTAAGAGCATCCAGGATGGATGGCTGCTTTACGTCTGTGAGAAACGAGGACGAAAAAGAGATCACGGTAACTATGCAGATTAGGGAATCATTTCTTTTCACCATTGTGCACTTGTGTCTAATCTACGTGTGCTTACAAGAATTGTGTTCAACTATTGTTACAATGTAGCTTTTGTAATTGTTACTACTGATTTGTACAATTTAATGATATAAATTTTTAAAAAAGCAATATAACAACTTTCAAACTTTAACCATGCATCTGCTCTTCAGTTTCTCTAAAATATAAACCACACTGAGCTGTCCCCAGTTAGGCTCAACAGGCCTGTCTTGATACCTGCAGCCTTTTTCTTGGACGCAGCTGGTTTCCTTGCAGCAACAGCTTTCTTGGGTGCCGCCTCTTTGGTTTTACGTTGAACAGGAGCCTTGGATGCAGGCACCTGATCATCCGACTGAGCTGCAAAGAACCACAGAGAGCAAATAACTAAACCGATGCTTGGCCCAACATTTCTCAAGCTCATCACAAAAATTCTCCCATGAAAATACTTACAGCTTGACTTGGATTCAGCTTGTTGTGTCGCCGATTTGCTCTTTGCCGCTTTCTTCCTGCAGAGGGATGATGGAATTTGAGTGTGAAAAGGCCTTGATTTTAAAGATGCTTTAAAATGAAGTTATCTGTTGTCTCATACTCACTTGGGTTCTGGAGCTTTGGGAGGCGGGACTGGAGAGTCCAAATCACTGTCGGCCATGGTGCTGGGCTCTGGGGCAAAGCTGGTGTCATCATCGCTGATAACAGCTTTCCGTTTTGGAGCATCCTTCTTTCCCCAATCATCAAATTCATTTTCACTGTCGGACATGCTATACTTCACCGCAGCTTAACAAACAGGCAAAAGAAGGGTGTGATTTAGCAATGCTGTTACGTATTGTAGGGTGGCGGCTGTTGCTTTTTTTTATTAGAAAGAAGAGTTTGTTTTGCTAGAATCCTCCCATAACAGATGACTAAGCAAACAGCTGATACAAAGATCGGGTATGGGTGAATTAAGATAAGAGCTAATTAGCCTCAGGAAATGCGCTGTATCAAGAGTCTTAATTCAAAATCCCAAACATTTCTGGGGAGATTAAATTTTGTGACAGTCTGGGTGAGGGAAGAGCTTAGAACAGCAATCTGCATTTGTATGTATGAGCAGTCTTTTCAGAGGACAATACAAGGGAAACATTACTATTGACACACTGCTCTAATTATCAGTGATGATCACGATCCTCTAGTAGATTCACCTTTAGTTTTGCGTTCAGCCCGCTCCCTGGGGGCAACCACTTCCTCTGCCTCCACCTCACCGTCTGACACGTCATCAGATTCATTGTCTGACCAGGGATTCTTCTTCGGTTTCTTGGCAACAGGCTTGAACTGAAGAGTGCTCTGCTTGCCGGTCTTTGATGCTGCTGCAGAGAAGTGTGTGCGTCAGTTATCATTGTGCTTAATTACAGTAGGTCTAGATACAGTATTTAAAAAACTATATAATTTACTGTAACCCATTGCTTATAAAAGGTAAAGGTTTTTGGTAATTTTTGTTCTTTTTAATACTGGTGCAGTCCGTTACTAGTGTCCAATCAACCAGCAGAAGTCACGCTAGGTATGTATACATTATATAAATTTTTGAGCTCAAGTAGTATGGCACTTCACCAGAGTCCATTTGTAATTATGATGGAGGTGTGATGCAATTGCTGCGGTAAAATTCAGAAACAGTGTGTAGCCATCATGATATTATGTAGCAACATATCTTATCTCTGAAGTACAAAATCTTTTACTGAACAGGTGGTATAGTTTGAAATATATAAACAAAATCTATACTTTGGCTTTTAAAGGTTATATTACTAAAGAGCCGTTGGTTATTGGTTGCTCCATTGAAAAGGACACTACATTTGTTGATGTAGACAGAATGGTAGTATTCTTAAGGTAAGTATGCTTAAAATGATTTAGAATGAAATTAGAATGATGGCTAGATTGTACTGCACTTTTTGCTCATTTGAATGAAACGTATGAGACATGAATTAAATTATACATCATAGAAATAATAACACTAATCAAAACAATACTCCAAAAATCAACTCAAAAGAGGTCAATGTATCACTATCATTATTAAAGCAGCCATTCTCACCCTTTGCCTGAGTTTTAGTTTTCTTGCTCAGTCGTGCAGCCAAGCCAGCCTCCTCATTTGGCTCTGCATTCTCAGCATCTTCTCCAAATTCCATCTTCATCACTACATCCTCACTCTAAAATGAGAAGTCAGGTCAAGCAAAATGTACCAAGAATTGTGAGAAAGATGCAGATATAAGACCTGACAGCTGACAACTGAGTAAACAGTTAACAAAATAATAATGTAGTTCAGGGCACACTATTACTTGTCAATTGTCATTTATTTAAATTTGAAAAGACATACCTTGATTTTCTTGCCCCTCTTGCCTTCTCCTTTCTTAAGATCAGCCTTCCTGTTAGCTTCAGCTTTCATGGTGCTGGTAACGCGTGGGACAACACGGCGACCCTGCGGTGTGGGCAGAGTCTCCTGCTTCACCTTCACCACTTTTCCTTTCCCAGTCCCCTTTTTAACAGGCATGTTGGCGTTCTCCTTCTCCTTTGCCTCAATATTCTGAGCACAAGGAGGAACAAGATTAGAAGATTATTCAGCAGGGGAACATTGGACAGTGGTAGCTCTGAATGTCAGAGTTTCCACGGTCTTGGATCAAGTCACAATATGCAAGCGTCCTCATATGGGATTGGCAATAGGACTGTCAACTAGGCAAGTTATATTGCCAATCCCTTTCTAAAAATATGGTGCACATACTGTAAAGTGTAGAAAAAGTATAAAAAGCCAATACCTCCAGTTCCTCTGAGAAAGCAGCAAGATCTTCCCTCCACAGGTCTGCAGGAGCCTTCTTCTTCAGGGTGTTCAGCTCTGTCATCTATAGAACAGCAGTTGGGTCAGAAATGTTTACACGAGATAGAAAGTTTCGAATTATGTGTCAGCCTTCTGCAAGATTGCAGCATAGCTAAACATCGTACCTTAGCATCCCTCTGTTTGCACAGCTCATCTTTCTTCTCTTTGGTCAAGTACCACATGGGCATGCTCAGCAGGTAGTTGTAGTCTGGCCCGCTGGTGTCCTCATTCTCTGTTCCTTCCTCCTCCCCTTCATCCTCTATCTCCTCCTCATTCTAAGAACATGAACACAAATATATGTTATTTGCTCAGTTGGAGGCTGATTATCGCATTCCTCATAAATGTAACTGAAAGCCACTGGATCCCTACCTTCTCTTGAGCCTCTTTCCAAGCCTTGACTGGGTCAGAGTCGTAGCCCATCTGCTGCAGCATGCGAATCAGTTCCTTCTTCGGCTTGTTCTCTTCAAGTAGATGGGACAGTATTAGTACATTTAATCAAGGGAATTTAAAACACATTCTAGGTTGGCACAACAATGGCAAAAATGATCATCTAAATTGTGACTGCAAATTGCAGCAATTACAAGCTACTAACCAATGACCAAGGTGCCCTGGATTTTCTCCAGGATGAAGCGAGCCTGGTTGGTGAGTTTAGCACTCTCTGCCCCCAGCATGCCAACCAACCAGTCTTTTCTCAGCAAATAGTACTTCATC